TCGGAGATAACACAAAACACTTGACGGCACTACCACTTCCTTTACACGTGGAATTTTAAACAAAATTTTGGGTCTGCACTTAATTTATTCTTTTTAAATCACTTCACTCACATTCAATAAGTACCCTAACTTAGTAAAAATTGCAAAAAATTCGCCGACAACTCAACGCGTTTCAATTCTTTGCAAAACTGTGCAGATATTTTTGACGAACAGATGATATTTTTGACATTTTCTTATTAGTATTTTCGTACGAAAAAAATTAAGAGCTGCCAATCGGAAAAATATTACTACAGTAAACCCAAGGCATATTGAACAGGACAAGCAACATTGGCGCATATTCATAGTCATATTTAGTACTCAACTAATAGGTCTATTCTGCACGCTACCGAAGATTTTGTAACCGGAAATTTTTATTACCAAAAAATGTTACCCGTTCTTGTCACCGCGATTCTAGGAACGTTGGTAATGCAGTTAAAGTATTCAGCAATTCAGCTATGAAGAATTGTGCAAATTCTGGCATTGCATATTTCACGGTGCAATACTTTGTTACCAGCTTATGAGATGGTAACAAAATTTACCGGTTACAAGAGTACACAGAATGCGAAAAGGGTTTAAAAATTGACAGGAACTTTATTTATCGGTTACAAACTTTTTATTAATAGCGCAGAATAGACCTGTAAGTCGAAACTATTCTAACAGGTCTATTCTGCGCTGGTAATAAAGAGTTTGTAACCGGTAAATAAAGTTCCTGTCAATTTTTAAACCCTTTTCGCATTCTGTGTACTCTTGTAACCGGTAAATTTTGTTACCATCTCATAAGCTGGTAACAAATTATTGCCCCGTAAAATATGCAATGCCACGATTTGCACAATTCTTCATAGCAGAATTGCTGAATATTTTAACTGCATTACCAACGTACCTAGAATCGCGGTGACAAGAACTGGTAACATTTTTTGGTAATACAATTTTCCGGTTACAAAATCTTCGGTAACGTGACAAACAGGTCTATTCTGCGCTGTCTTTGAAGAAGTGGCAACGCCCTGGCGAGAAATAATTCTTCTATCGGACTTGTCTCCACGCCAAATTTGTGGGAAAATGGATTAGTTGATAAATAAATCAGAATTATGGACATGAGACAAAGAACGTAAACCTACAACAAAGAACGTAAATGTTTAGATTTGCGTTCTTTGCATGAGATAATTGAGGGATTCACAACAGTGTCGTAAGTGTCGTATTGCTGTATGTGGTAGACTTTAAAACCTTAAATAAATGTGAGAACTTAAAACCACAACCAACTATATGACTTTGATGATACTTTGCGAACACCCTTACTACATATTTTAGGCGTTTAAAGTTCCCAGTGGCAGCATTCCCAGTGGCCCGTGAACGACCAAGTGGCAACATTATTATCATTTTTCATATCTTGTTTTACGCGATACCAAAGGAGAAGACCGCAAATATTTCCCAACAAATTTCCAAAATATTGGCCAAAATTGCTAATTGGAAAGAAGAAAAACCCGCCAGGAACATCTCCAGAAGTATGACTGGCACAAGATTTGCTCGCACAGGCCGCTGCCGGTTTTTTGTGTGCTTGGCTGTCCTGACCGTGATGCTGTGCATGGTGGCGATTTTTCACAGCTCGCAGCAGCAACTAGATGAGACACGCGAGCAACGTTTGCGTTGTGAAAGACAGCAGGAGCAGTTGAATGAGCAACTTCAGAGTAAGTCGATAAGTATAAACGGGCCAAGCTTCATATATGTATGTTTGTATATATATTTTTTTCGACACGCACATAGATATGGCGGAACAAAAATACAATCAGCAAAAAACGTTGGAACAGGAACGAAATGAACAGATGGAAGCTCGCCATAATCTTGAGCAAAAACTTAAGGAGCTGACGATACTGCGTACAAATGAGCAAATGGATGTACGTGTACGTTATGATAAGTTGCAGCAGACCCACAAATTGTTAAAAAGTGAGCATAACGAATTAGTTGCTGAGTGTCAAAAAAGCAAAAAGCAGTTACTAGAAAATACCAACGGTCTGGAAAAGAAATTACAATCTGTGCGTTCAGAAGCTGACAAAGAAAAAAACGTACTTAATGGGGAGATTACTTTGTGGCGGGTAAGAATGCGTGTTTTACTTCAAAAAAGGTTATTAATATATCATAAATAAAAACTTTAGGAAAAATATAACGCCATTCTAGCCGAAAAAGAACGGATGGAGATCTTGCTCGATGCTGCTGGCGCAAAGACCGAGATGCAAAGCAAAATAATGCAATTAGAGCACAAGATTACAGAATATCAACAACATTGTGATTACAAACCGGAAATCACAAGTCATAACGATAAGCCACTGAGCCCACCAAATACTGCCCGCAATACAAGTACACAACCTCGTGTTGAGAAATCCTTTAGTGAACAAGTGCGCGTGAGTCCCGGTCTATATCACATCGATATTAAGCTAACTAACAAAACGCAAAACATTGCTTCTTCGCATGCGAATCAAAGTATTTCAGCTACTAACAATACAGAATTTACATCTAAATCCGACGCTGATGGTACTGATCCAAAGGCGAGTAAAAATCAGAATGTAGTTTTGAAAGCTGGTAGCGATATTGTTGCTGGTGGTGTAGGGGTAGATGGTGTTGGAGGCTTCATGCCTTATCTCTCCCGTAGTAATCGGAGTTTAATACTTAATTCCGTTGAAAATTTTCAGATATTATCAAAACCAATCGAGAAACTAGGCGATGGGGGTGACGGTTATGTCATGGCCCAAATACGACAGCCTCCTGCCAACCAATCTGCTGCCTCGGTTGGAAGCAAAGCAATATCGCCGTTAAGTCCACCCCGTAAAACGGGCACAACTGAGGCATCAAAATCCGAACAACATGTACTGGAGGCAAATGCGCCAGTGAAACAGACAAATAGCTCATCGACTACCAGTAGCGGCTTGCCACCATTACCTATGCCACCAAACCCTCGCAAATTACCAGAAAACGTGGCGCCCATACCAGCTAATTTTGATGAGCTTTTGAAAGATGATCGTGGTGGTCAAAAGGCAGACAATGCGAAAGAAACAGATGTAGATGCAGCAGAGGAGGTGCAAAAAAACGATAATGATGAAGCCAATAACAATCGCTATGCCAACGCCATAAACGACATGGAACCGAAAGCATCTAACAAAGAAGCGGTTTTTGCAGCTGCCAATGCGGCGAACGAGGACTCTGGTGCTCATGAAATTAAAGACAATGATTTTATGAACGACCAAAATTTCAACTTGCCAGCCAATGAAGATAATAACTTCTTCGATGGTGGTGGTAAAAATGAAGCAGCGGGAAACGCTGGCGAGAAGACAAAAGGTGATGAGAATGACGATGATGAAGGGCTTGCTGGTGCGGTAGATGCTGGCGATATAGCAGTTAAAAACCAAAACTTGTTGGATACCAATAATTTAAACAACGAAGTTGTTGGTGACCAGGGCAAGGAATTCCCCGATGAACTACGTTTAGAAGAAAACAATGAGGAAGATGAAGATGGTGATATAAACAAAAAATTAGAAAAATAGCGTTTAATTTTTATGTTCATTATTTCCAGAGGATGATTATTCGAATCCAGCAGCTCGTCAACAGGGTGAACAAGCAATTAGAAATTAAAGGAGCTCTACCAGTTCAATAGCTGTTAAATGAATAATATTTAAAATATGTAAAGCGGCACATACACTTGCACGTAAGACGTATGAAGGGCGAAGTAACATAAACAAAATATTTCGCTTGTACGCACTTAACCAAACTAACATTTGAACATTCAGATTCACATACATACATTTATATGCTATCAATAAAATGCTGTTGGCTGCATGTTGGAAAAAATTCCCATTAAACAAAGCAGAAAAAATTATAATGGATGAGGAAAAAACAAAACTTACTGGAAAACGCTTCCATTAGAAAATAAAAGTACTGCAGTAATAAAAGTTAAAATTATTAATATAAATACTATGCATATAGTCGCATACATGCATTCATCCTTAAACCTATATGTATACTAACAACGGTTTTGAACCTTTGACTAGATTTGAATTTAAACTTGATTGAATTCCAAAATGTCAAAATACAAAGCATCAGTCTCTTTTATTTCTATACTATACTTATATTTCGGACTATAAGAAAAAAAGTCTAACTTGCGCAACCTAGTTGAAAACTACCATATAACCGTGGTTGCGCATATTTGGCATTACAATCTACTGAGGTATATAAATAAAAGAGACTGATGCTTTGTATTTTGACATTTTGGAATGCACCCCTACTTATCAATTTGCATTCCTTTCCCCTTTCATCTATTTTTATGAATTTCTGTGATAACATTCAAAGGTTCTACAAAAATATAAGTCTGTACTCGCCCAAGGTGCCCAAAAAAACCCTTTTGCTTTCTATATATCGTTTCCTTAATTCACAAAGGCCCTAATAAACAATTTTTTTTTTTTACAGCAAAAGTAAAAAACTTCATAAAAAGAGATTCAAAAACGGACTTTTCAAAAAGTGGCATGTAACTGGGCTTTTTTTTTTTTTGTTCCAACACTTTAAAATTTTGATTGAAGGTTGATTTTTTTATTACCACTGAACAAAATCTGAGAAAACGCAGTTTCGAAAAAAGTGTTGGTTAGGTAGGGCCTTTGTGATAATACATGTATATACATGCGTATCACCAGTGCAATTAAATTTGTCGTATTAGTATTGCAATTTGCAGAATATTGATAAGCAAGTGTAGTGATGATATGTCCATATGTATATATATATAAGGCAGTCTAAATTCACGTTCATACATATACCCCGTGTCGATATTATATATGCACCACATATTGACATGTTTTCACTTTTTGTATTTATTTAATTTAATTTTAATTATTTTCTTTACAAAAATATAGTTAATTTTTAACAAAAACCGTATGAATCCAAGTTTCAAACTTTGAAAAAATCAACTCGTAAAACATTTAAAATTTTTAATTAGGTTTCGTAGAAAGATTTTGAGTGCAGTTTGTATCCCATTCAATTTTTGTACTTTTAATTTTGTCATTATTTTTAAGGGTGTGCATTTTCCCCATATAAATCATGTAAATCATGGATTGCACTTTATTCCACTAAAATATCTAATTAATAAACTTGAAATTTTTACGCAAGTGTTAACTTTTTTTTTATTGTACAAAGTTTAAAACTTGGCTTTATACGGCTTTGAACTATATTTTAATAAAAAATAACTAAAATTAAATACAAAAAAATATAAACTGTTAAAACTTGCCAATATGTGATGGGTTTATAATTTTTACACATGGTGTGTATGCATACATATTTTAGGCGAACGTATATAAAGCATTATTTTATGTCTAGTTTAAGTTTAAATTATATTTAAAATTAATGCTATATTGCATTTAGAATTTTCTATTTTTTTATGTTTTATTAAAAAAAGTATGTTATTTTTTAAAGTGCAATTCGTTTGTCCCAAGATTCCTCTTTAGTCGTCTATTGAATTTTGTATACTAATTGTCATTTTGTAAGCAGATATACATAAGTATTTAAGCGTGCTCTATACTGAATTAAAAATCACTTTAGTAATTAAGAAAAACACTTATTTTTTTGTAATTGTATGTTTTTAATTTTAAATATCGAATAAAAAAAGACGTACATTTTGTTTTATTCCCCTTTAAAACTTGTTAACACAGCATAATTCAATAATTGAATCATGGTTTACATTACGATTTCAAATTGCGAATGAACAAAAGATGGAAAAGATAGTAAACAGAAGAAATTATTTTCAGAGTACAAAATAGGGATTGTCGACTAATTTCATAATGCCCGGGACGTGAGGTATTACGCAATTCAGAAAATCTTCCTTAAATACGTGGCATAAATGTAGAATACCTACAATTCTGAAATTAAAAAAATTCATATTGGGATCGATGGAGATCATTGAGGTTAGCGTATATTTTTTTTGGGAAACAACAACTACAACAATTGTTAAAGGTCAAATTTCAAATTAAGCCTTTTTTTAAATTAACATTTCTCGAAAACCTCTTCAAGGATTTGGAAAATTTTGATGTCATTTAATAGTGACTTTAATTCTCTTTAATTTGATATACATTAGGGCGGGTCGATTTAAAAATCGCTCATTGCTCTGTGAAAATTGTATTCTAGGGATCAAAATAAGAAACTTTGCCGAAGGAACCATACCTCTAAAATGAATTCTGATGTCCCCCAATTTGGGTCGAACTTTTGGGTAGGGGCAAATTTTGAAAAATCCCACTTTGACCCATTTAGAGTGCTCCAATCGAGTCCAAATGAATGACCGACCCCCACTAACTTTGGACGGCCGATCCACCCATGCCAGTGGTACACCCCCTGGAACTCCCCTGGGGGGTTCCCCAAACAATCATTTCAAAAAATCACCATTTTTGGCCTTTACATGAAAAAATCAGCTAAATGGCTGTTTTTTCTTATTTTTATTTATTTATTTATAATAATATTTATTATTTATTTATAATATCTATTTTTTCTCTTAAGAAATTTATTTAGTCAGAACATATGTAAATGAAGAAATTAATTTAAGTGAGTTATAGAAAAGAAACTAAAAAAAATTATTGTTTGAAGTCTTTTTTACTTTCAAGTCTGGGCAATTTCGCACGGCTCTCTAATGTCGTCGCCATAACAGCCTCTACATTTTCCGGTATAACCCGTTTGGATTTATCCATGATGAGAGGTTTCCCATGCTTATCTTTAATTTTAAAATCTTGCAAAAGAGCGGTTCCCAATGCTGATGCTAGTCTGTCAGGCACACCAAATCTGTCACATACCAAGGCAAAGTTAAAACAATCGTATCTCTCTGTGTATTGTGAAATTGTGCTTCTATCCATATCTTCTTGAACCGGTGGCGGTGCGTATGTTGAATCATCGGGATCTTGGTATGTTGGCATTGATGACATAGACGTTGCTCCTTGCTCTTCAGTTTCCATCACAAATGCATCCATTGTTAGTCTTCTCTGATTATGTTGATCGTGCATGAACTCTTTGAGGCGTTCGGGAACCCAGCCGCATGCACATGGAGCTGCCTTCAAATCGCATTTACATGTTCCAATGTAAAAAATTGTTTCCAGAGATTTTACATACTCTGTAAATTGTTGGGTGTTGTTTCTTCTCTTGATTTGCTCTTGATACTTGTCAAGCAATTTATTCAATTTATTAAATACACTTTTTTTTAGCATTATTTCCATACCAAGTTTTTCCCAAATTCCAATCAACTTATCTTGTACTTGAATAGTGAATGATTTATGGGAAAACTTTTTTTGTTCTGTTTTAGCACGTTCGCTTAAGTAAAAATAATATCTCAAGATATCCAGATGGGTTGGTAAATTAAGATCAGTTAAATCAGTAGACACACCAAAAACAGTAACATCATGCTTGGGTATATGACTCATTGGGTTTTCGATAGTTGTTGATGTAGTTGCTTCATCTTGCGGTGTAGAGGATGGTGGATTCATTGTAAACTTTTTGATTTGGAATGGTCACTTCACTTATTATTTTTTTTGAAATTGTAATGAGGTATATCGATTTACTATATTTTGTTGGATTTTATTTAAGGCACGTTGTACACTGTTCGGTGCACAGTATAGACCTCAGTATATCCAGTAAAAAAACTGTGGTGAAGTCGTTTATGGGGATAAAGTTTCCAGAGGTGAAATTTTAGGTAGCACACAATTTCTTACACGCATGGTTGCTTTTCAGCACTCATGAAAGAAACTAAAGACATATTTGAAAAAAAGTTCATAAAGTACATTAACTTTTGAAAGAAATACCATATAATGTATGTACTCTGGTTAATAATATCAAAAAATGTATTAGAACCATCGTTTAATGTTATATTTGGTACAAATTAATATTGCTGACCCGAACGCTCTGCGCCTTTCCACTGAATAATATATTTACTTAAAATGACATCCCTGGTCCTTGTTCTTTCTGTATCGCATCGTGGTGAATTCACATTTCTCAGAAATTTGACAACAAAACAAAAGGCGTATTTTATTTGCTAATTTTTGCGATTTCTATTGTTTGATGTAAATTTATGTCTTTTGAGGATATGTTGAGGCAATAAAGAAGGCGCAGTTTGAAAATGGAGTTATTAGTAATGAAGTAGCAGGCATATTTGGAAAATTATGCCGATAAACAGGATGGAATTTGGAAAGTAAGTGCCTGGTTGCAGCATATCTATGTATTAAAAAAGTATTTAATTAAATTGTTTAATAGAAATGTTATAAATCGAGTGGCTCATCTACGATGTGCTCCAAACATTTGGCGAACTTTTTTTTCGCCTTTTCAATGTGCTAAGTAAGAAACCGCAAACAAAGGGCAGACAACCTTCCCGGAAGCTGCCTCCTGTCCCTGAGTCGAAGCTGAAGTTCAGCAAGAAGCATGCCAGCAAACTGCTACCCTGATCAAGCGTAAACTAAAGCGCTCTGCTGCGATTACACTCCGTAAACGTGAAAACTTGGTGCATGCCGAGAAATATCAAACAAGAAAACTCCGGGATGGACGCCGTGAGATGAAGTTCCGCCGTGTGGAGAAATAACGCGGCCAATTCTACGTGTCTAAAAAATCCAAATTGGCTTTTGTGATCCGTATCCGCGATATCAACAAAGTTGCACCAAAACTTTTACTGTTGTTCCGTTTTCGCCACATTAAACACGGTTTGTTCATCAAATTGAACAAGGCAACCATTAATAACCTACGTATGCCGAACCCTATATGGGGTTATCCAAATCTTAAATCAGTTCGTTAATTGATGTACAAACGTGGAATTGTCTAGCACAACCATCAACGTGTCCCAATCTCTGACAGCAAATTGCTTAAAGCGCACGAAATTCAGTGCGTTGATTATTTGGAGCACGAAATATTCACTGTTGGAACCCACTTCAAGAAAGCCCCCAACTTCCTGATGCCATTCAAGCTCAACACATCAAACCGAGGCTGGCGCAAGAAGGCTAATCACTACGTTGAGGTTGGTGTTTTCGGTAGCCGTGAGCATAAGATCAACAAACTGTTCCGAAAGATCGCTTAAAGAATTTTTATTTTGTATTTAAAGCGACAATATACTTTGGCACATCTTCAAAAGGCGCCCAAGCAAAAAAAAAAGAAAATTAAAAAATTCGGGAAGTTGACTTTACACGGGTCGATTTCTGTCGATTGGAAAATCGACTGAGATATTGACCAGCCAAAACGCTTACATTTTACGGTTGAAGTGCAATTTACACGGGTAGATTTCAGTTAAACGACAAACAGCGACCGTGTAAAGGCAGCTTAAATAACGTTCAAATTAATGATCACTTTTGAGATGGAAAATACCAATGGGCCGTATGAATAAAAACTGAGCAATTGCTTTTTCTTAAAATTTCATACCGGTTACTTCACTTTTGTTTGAATAAATCGAGTAAAAAATTTTAAGAAAAAGTAATTGATTATTTTTATTCATACGGCCCAGTAACCATTTCATAATTTCGAAAATTATTCCATTTATATTTGTTCTTGCATTTTCCACACCACCTGTGAGGTAAGCTTTTAGGCGCGTTACCGATTTTTTTTTAAGGTGCTCGGTTCCTCAGGAGGCCTATTTTTACCTTTACAACTTAACTTAAAAAGAATTAAAACTAAAGTATGCAATATATAAAGAAAATTAAAAATTGTCTTACATCTAGTAAACATAAAAAATTGCAAAAATTAAATTCATTATTCATTATAAAATAAAATTAAATATCTCACAATTCAGTTGAAGTGTATACATATATATCTATGTACATATTTACAAAATGTGGTCTGTATGCACCCACAGTAAGTTCCCATAAAACCCAGCCTAAATTCAGAACTGAAAAAAACGAGCAAATGGGGTCGGAAACTACTAGCTTTAAAAGCATAATGTGGAAAATGTTTGAAGAGCTGAAACTGTATTGCAATAATGAAAATACCAGTGCATAAATTGGAAAAATTGTTTTTGTTTTGCTGTATAATTTTTGAAAATATTGGTTCAGATGGAATTTCGTTATTTGTTTTGGTTTTTCAGGTCATTAATGATGTACCCAGGGTTGCATTTACTGTCTATGAAAATATTTCATGAGCGTTCCAAAATTAGCTCCGAGCAACTAAAAGTTGGTTAAGCTTAAATGAAATAGTTTTTTATTAAATATTTATTCCTGGTATTTAGTAAAAAACATCAATACTAATGTATGAAAAACAAAACATCAATACTAATGTATGAAATGAAGTAAATAAAAATCTACAAATACATTCCATGAATATTTTGTCACAGAGCCATTATTAAATTTAGACATAGCTTTGTCAGGCGTTGGTACTGACGTATATAGAATTAATGCGTTAGAGAGAGATAAATATACAAGTTCAACGCGCTAATTTAGGTATACTTGTATGTAAATACCTGTTACTCGTCTGGCATATACTCCAACTGCGAAAATAATGACAATTATAATTTATGTAGATCCCTGGATAAAAGAT